CGACCCCTCCTTGGGTTTCCGAGGCAGTATCACTACGGAAGTAGGATTGCCCAACCTTCCTTCCGAGGAGTGGCTGGTGGGTTTGAACCGCCAGCAACATGGCCCCCTACACCTTGTGTAATCTGGTGTCCCTTTCTATATCCTTTTTGACACATCATGTGTTGCTCCTTTCCTCTAACTAGCTAGCCATAGGGACTTTATACATGTTGTCCCTGCTGCCTGGAATATTCCCCACCCTACAACTTTTTGCCAACCCAAATCTTACTCAGATTCTAAGCTTAAATGTCACTTCTTTAGGGAAGTCTTTCTTTTACCCCTAGTTGAGATTAGATTCCCATAGTACAGGTATGTGTCACTTAACATCTGTTGGGGCAACATCTGACTACATATACATCCTTGGTCCCATAAGGTTTTTTTTCAAAAGGGAAAGTAGCTTTCCCTTTGTTTATTATTTTCCCCTCATGGCTTTAAATACTCCAAACACAGACTCTTTCAGCATTGAACCACGAGTAGGATACAGGCATTTGAAGCAGAGGACCTGGGCATGGGCTCACGGGCTTTTCCAGGGAGGCAGGTGGATGGAACAGTGGACAGGGCTGGGCGCACTCCACACGCTCTCCACTTGCTTCCACTTGCCTCCTTTTGCTGTCCTCCCACAGCTGCTACTGTTGCTGCCTTTTGGCAGCGGCAGCAGCAGCAGCAGCAGCAGCAACAAAAACAACCAGAAGTGGACTCCCATAAGGTGTTTGCACAACATCCAAATCATATAATGTCCTATTTCACAGAACTATAGTGGACATTAAGCAATGCATACCTGTATTTGTGCTCATGGCTTATTGTTTTACTTCTTTGGAGCATAATTGTAATAAAATAGTTTGTGTAATAAGATTATGTCTTACTCATCTTTGAATGCCCAGTGTTTAGTGTAGTCCCTGTGTATGGCAGCCACTCATATATTTGTTGCATGACTGTGGTAGACCTTTCCTTGTAATGTGGAACTAAGTGCCTTCTGCAGGGAGGCTGATGATGTCTGTACCCACAGATGTGAGCTGTGATGAATGGGCCTTCTCCTTGCTGCCTCTTGATGTGGATCTCCTGAGCATGGAGCTACCAGAATTTTTCAGAGATTACTTCTTGGTGAATGCAGAGCTCTTGGGTCTTGGCATCAGGGGATCGGGGCGGGGAAACATGAAGTCTAGTGGGCCAGAAATAGTGATCTAATCTTTGTCCAATAATATAATTTTTCATGAGTAACAGTGATTTGGTGATTGAGCGCTACTGATCGATGATATCCATGGGACTTCCTCTGGGGCCAATCAAAATGGACTCTCAAGCATTCCCTAACACTGCCTTCCTGCTCCAGGTTTTCAGGGCCAACTACTATCCAGATGGGCCTGTTGGGTTGATCTTTGTCTTTGTGGCCTGTGTGGTCCCTATAGGAAGGAGATCAGCGTTGGATCAACACTGTGGCACAGGCCTTGCACCTTCTTAGCACTCTCTATGGGTCCTTTCCTAACTGCTATGGAATTGGTAGATGTGCCAAGGTAAGAGCACTGGCAGTATTGTTGTCCTGGTAGCCCCATTTTACCTGTTTTATGCCCTGTAAATTTAGACTGTCCATAGGCATTTGTGGAAAACCTTGGCTTTATTGTTCTGGAATAGTTTTTCAGAGATGAAAACTAGAGAGGCAAGAACCAAAGCCTCTTGGATAGTCTTCCTAAATGTCTTTATGTCTTTGGGGGAAGGGAAGTGCTCCTTCATTGGTATGTGAGAGGAGGGATAGGAGCAGGTGGGAGTAGAATAGTGTTAATAGTTAATTCTCTTGGGGCCAAGGATAAGGATCATGTGGAAGGGGTTGGCTTCTGTAGGTATGGGGCTGCAGTAGGCACCTGGACACAAGATTGAGAATTTCTTGGGCCCTGGCAGATGTCACATGAATTGTGGAGGAAACTGGAGGAGGAGGAAGATGGTGAAACCAAGGGCCGAAGGCCAGAAATTGGACATATCTTTCTCCTGGACAGAGGTAAAATTATGCCCAGCACTGCTTTTGTCTTTGGACCGCAGAAGACATGGGAATTTAGAATATGTGGTAGCAAAGTTAGGACCTAAAGTTAAGGCCAGGATCCCAAAGTTGATTAGGAGCATGGACACTTGGCCCTGTAGAAGGTATGTGAGCTGGTATTGAGCAAGGTGGGGAAAAGACTGGGTCAGGGAGAACCTTCATGGTCAGGGATTTTGGTTTCAGACATGGACTTTGTGACAGCACTCTGCTCCCAAGTGGTTTATGAGGGCCTGGTGGACGATACCTTCCGCATCAAATGTGGTAAGTGCTATTGTCATCTGTATCTCAGCAAGATGAAAGTATAATTGGCTCCTAGTGCTTCTCACAGTGGGGCAAGGATTGTAGGGGGCACCCAGACTCTAAGTGAACTTCTGGCTTCCAAAAAGTTTTGGGGACCTTTAATAGCAGTTCAGGAAAAGGTAAGAGGATAGGCCTCATTGGAGATGCTAATAGCCATCCCTTCTGCTCTCAAAGGTAGTGTCGACTTTGGCCCAGAAGTCACATCCTCTGACAAGAGCCTGAAGGTGCTACTCAATGCTGAAGATAAGGTGAGGGAAAGGGTGTGGGTGCTAACATGGAATTTATTTAGGGGCACTGCTTATAGGAGGCCCTGAGCTTCTTCATTCAGCTCTGGAATGGGAGGCTGAGTCCATGGGAAAAAGGTTTTCCCTGCCAGTTAAGAGCATACACCAAAGCACATTGTTGTTGTTATCTGCCATTGAGTCAGCCCCGACTCATAGCGAGCCCTCCTTGGGTTTCCGAGGCAGTATCACTACGGAAGTAGGATTGCCCAACCTTCCTTCCAAGGAGTGGCTGGTGGGTTTGAACCGCCAGCCGTCTGGTTAGCAGGCAAGTGTCTTAGCCACTATGCTACCAGAGCACCCAAAGCACATAGCAGGTTCTTAATGCTATTCATTGATACCAGCTTTCTTTATACTTCTGCTAGAACAGCTGTACCTTCTTGTACTATCCTGTATGTTGATGAGTTAAGAAGGAATACTGATGAGGTAAAAAAGTTAATAGTTCTGGCATAGTAAGTTTTCCTTGTCTTGTTCCCCTCACAGGTATTTAATGAGATTCGTAATGAGCACTTCTCCAATGTCTTTGGCTTCTTGAGCCAGAAGGCCCGGAACTTGCAGGCCCAGTATGATGTGAGGCTCCAAGCCCCGAGTCCTCTGTTTTGTTTCTTCATTGGCTTCTCAAAGCTGTTGCCCTTTGGCTCCCCTTATGACACTATGACAGTCCTCGTATCTCTTCTCTTAGATGGGTAGAAACTCAGGTAGGTTATTGGTTATAATGCCTGAGGTTGGGGAGGGTTTGACTTTGTGGCGACTTCCCTACAGCGTCGGAGAGGCATGGACATCAAGCAGATGAAGAACTTCGTGTCCCAGGAACTCAAGGGACTGAAACAAGAGCATCGCCTGCTGAGTCTCCGTAGGTTTCATCTTGAGGAGAGGGGGAGGGGAACTGAATCTGTATCCTGGAAGGGCATGCTGCAGTGGCACATTCCTTCCCAGGAGGTAATCCCTGCTTATCTGGAAATAATGGCCTTATTTGGTCTAAAGTGAGAAGTCTTTTGGATTTTGCCTTAATACGTTTTTATTTTTTCTAGATGAAAAAGGGACATCCTTCTAGAATCAAGAGTTCTTCACCTCCTTCTTTGTCCTATCTGCAGATATTGGGGCCTGTGAATCCATCATGAAGAAAAAAACCAAGCAGGATTTCCAGGAGCTAATCAAGACTGAACATGGTAACTGAAGCCTTGTTATGTACTTTCTCACGCTTCTACTTCCCTCACTCCTCCCCGCTAGCCCACCCTAAAAAGATGCTCTCTGGCTCTTTCCAGCTGACATTGGCTATGTGAATTACTGGTTCCTGCTAGAAGTCTTGAGGTCCCTTAATCCACCCTGAGGATGGAGAAAGAAATGAGTAGATAGCTACTTGTTAGCATAGATGGCAACAGTTGAGCTGAGCTAATTCCCCAGTAACAGGCTCTCCTCTGATTACTCACAGCACTCCTAGAGGGGTTCAACATCCGGGAGAGCACTAGCTACATTGAGGAACACATAGACCGGCAGGTGAGCCCAGAAGAAGGGGAGGAGGAGGCTGGGGATGGTGTTCAGAGTGGGGTCTACCTCGAGCTGAAGGAAGAGGAGAGAACATGTGTCAGGAAACTTGGATTCTCATTGACTCTTCCTGTGCAGGTGTCACCGATAGAAAGTCTTCGCCTCATGTGCCTTTTGTCCATCACTGAGAATGGTGAGCCCCGGGAATCGAAGATGGGAGATTGAGAAACACTGCCTCAGGGATAGAAGAAATGAATTTGAAAGACAGGGACATATATCTTAGCAAATAGAACTTTTTTTTTTTTTTTTCCCCCTTGAAACTTCATGGATTCTTTTCCTTGTAAAATAAAGTAATTTTTGTTTCAGGTGAAATATCACCTGGTCATAGAGTAATTCATTGTCCCAACCCTAAGCAGGACCACAGCCAGGGCACCCCAGAACAATGCCTATCATATCTGAGAACTGCAAGGCACAGGGTTGAGTGGCGTCTCTCTCATCATTCCACTTGGCCTCCCATCTTCAACGCAGCTTTATAATAAAGATGCATTTCAGAAAAAAGGGACAGCCAACTAATTTCATACGTAGTTCTAAAAGCCTAGATCTGCAACCTTTTATGGCAACTTGTTTTTACTATTGAAGCCTTCTATTTGGCAGATGTTCTTCAAGGTTGCTAGCTACCCAGGAAAGTATTTTGCTTATTCTGACTCTCCTACTGGAGTTGGAAGTCCATTTCTTCTTACCTCAGTGGGTAAAAATATTTGAGATTGCATTTTTGAAACTCTTCTGAACACTTTTCTTATTCCTTAGTAACTGTAAAGCATTTCCAAGAAGACCTGCCCCTTAGCTAGGAAGAAATGCACAAGAATCACTTCTCCCCCTGCCATACCCTTCCTATCATGAGCATTAATTTCAGTATCCCTTCCTCAGCACTTTATGATTCAGGGTTCTTCTTGGCACTCTCAGACCCAGGCTTTCTCTTTTAGTAAGCAAGCTTAAATGTACAAATCCATTTAGAATAGTATATGATGCTAAGCTTAACATAATTTCTGTATCTTTTCTCCTAATTAAGGGTTTTCTGGGTATATAGGGGGGTGGTTTTATGGTTGGTTGGTTTGGCTATACATTCTAGTCTCCTTCTCATTAACCTGTCATATTCTTCACTCTCAGGTTTGATCCCCAAGGATTACCGATCTCTGAAAACCCAGTATCTGCAGGTAAGGCCTGGAGAATGTATCCTTGAGGGAACGCGGAGGGAAGTCATTGGACATTTTTGTAATAAGCAAAAGAAGAAATGGCCCCTTTCCTGTTCCCATCACCATCCTGTTCCCATTAAAGGCTCTTTCTTAAAGGGACTAGGACTAGTTACCTTTTAGGGCACTAGACTCTCCTGCTGCCCTAGTTTCAATCCATTCCCCTCTCCCGGTTGCTGGCCAGTGCTAAGAGACTTTAAAGCACTTCTGCCCTGTTGAACCTACAGATGAGTTCCTAGAAAGGTCTTTACCTCTCATCCTTGGGAGGCATTGATACCGTTTTACTTTAAGGTTTTTCCTCAAGTCTTACCTCATCCATGAAACCTTCCCCACCATCCCTATACTCATAGCGTTCTGTGTTCTTTAAGTTTCAGACTGTTCTTCATTCTTCTTTGGTGTTTGGTTATATCTGGCATGAATATCTTTCACAAAAAAAATGTGAACTTCTTGAGGGCCTAGACTGCATAGTCCTTCTCTCCCTCACCTCGATAGCACCTGACAGTGCTAGACCCTTGGTGGATATTCAGTAAATAGCTGGATTGCATTTTCTTCAGAGCTATGGCCCTGAGCACCTGCTAACCTTCTTCAATCTGCGGCAAGCTGGGCTCCTCACAGAGCAGGCCCCAGGGGACACCCTCACAGCAGTGGAAAGCAAAGTGAGCAAGCTAGTAACAGACAAGGCTGCAGGTGAGCAGGGAGCACAGGTACCCTTCCCCCCCGTTACTCCCTCTTTTCCCAACAGGCTAAGCATCTTGGGAAGGTGAGAGAATGAGCTGGGGAAGGAGAATGTGATTCCTTACTATTAACTGTCATTACTACTACTTCTGCTGCTGCTACTTGAGCATTTTCCATTTATTGAACACTTACTAAGTGCTGTGGCATATGCTAAATCCTTTAGATACAATTTTTTTTTTCCAGTCCTCACAAAGACTCTATAAGGTAGTTTTATTATTCCTGTTTTACAGATGAGGAAGGTGAGGCTTAAGGGAGTTGCCCAAGGTCCCTCAGTTAGTCAGTCAGTTTTGAAACTAGGTCAGTTTGACTCCAAAGCCCATATACTTAACCAGTAAACTAGGTTCATCCTGTGGGTGGCATTTCATAGGCAGCTGGTATCCTGTAGGAGAAGACCACTGTGATTAAAGGGAAGGTGATGGATGTCTTGATCAGTTCCAGAGAATTGTAGGTGAAAGGCTGGGAGGGGTCTTCAGATGTGATATGATAGGTCCTGTTATTTGAGAAAAGGCAGCTCTGTCATTTCCTGAATGGTACCGTCTGTGGCAGTGTCATGAATCTATAGACCTTAGAAGAAACCTAGCACAGATTTCTTCCCCAGGAAGGATTACTGATGCCTTCAGTTCTCTGGCCAAGAGGAGCAATTTTCGTGCTATCAGCAGAAAGCTGAATTTGGTATGTGAAACACGGATGGATAGGGGAGGAAGTGGGTTCAGTCCTTTGTGGAGTACTTTGAATCTACAAAAACCTCCTTGTCATTTTTTGTTTTTATAAAGATCCTTTGGTTTGGTAGCATTATGGCATGAGCTTAATTTAATGAGACAAGGCCCAAAGATTTATTCATCTAATAAATGTGTAACAAGCACCTGCCAATGCCAGGGAATATGCTGATCTCTGCTTCAGTGAATGTCCCATGTCACTGAAGTAACATTAAGAAGTAGGAAGCCTTCCCTCCAGCTCCTTCATGGGGAGCATAGGAACTCATTCAAGAGAATCAGTGGGTGTGGAACAGAAGCTTTGCTCATTGGTTATAGATTTTTTTTGGAGCTATTGCTGGTTCCACTTTCAGTTGGAATAAGAACTTTTCTTTTGGCTGTGTCACTTTATGTGAGTCTTTAAAAGACTAGAGGGCTGAGTTGTCACTTTCTTAAGAGAGTGCACTTTGCCTTCTAGATCCCACGTGTGGATGGCGAGTATGACCTAAAAGTGCCACGGGACATGGCCTATGTCTTCAGTGGTGCTTATGTGCCCCTTAGCTGCCGAATCATTGAGCAGGTGAGAACAAGTGACTCTTCAGCTGTCATCTGTATTTCATGCCTTCTGCCATTCTTTTGGTCCCTATGAAGCTGGTATGCTCCAACTTTTTACTTCCACAGTAACTAGCAAGAAACAGGATAGTCTGGCTGCATCATCCTTTCTTTCCTAAGTCTAATACTATCTGTAGACTTGAAACTAGTGCTTGCACCTTTTCAGGTGCTGGAGCGGCGAAGCTGGCAGGGCCTTGATGAAGTGGTACGGCTGCTCAACTGCAGTGAGTTTGCATTCACAGGTATGTGGCAGGTGACAAGTGGGGGCAGGTAGCAAGGAGAGATGGGCTGGATGCATCACCCAGTACTAGCATGTCAATGAAGACTTACATTTGGCCTCATCCTCACAGACATGACCAAGGAAGACAAGGCTTCAAGTGAGTCCCTGCGCCTCATCTTGGTGGTGTTCTTGGGTGGTTGTACATTCTCTGAGCTCTCAGCCCTCCGGTTTCTGGGCAGAGAAAAAGGTAAGAGAATGGAAAGGTGAGAATAGGCCTGCCTGGGATCTGGCGGGGAAAAAGGCACAGGAAGGCTTTTCTCCTGGCCTCTGGGTACCATTTGATAGTCATGGCCTTGCTATTGGGCTGCTGTAGCAGGGAGTCCAGTTCTATCAGCTTCTCAAGTTGTACCCAAGAGCATGGTACTGATGCTTCCATGTATATGAATTTCTTCTCTGATCTGTGGAACTGCAGAGGCTCAATAGTTACTGGTGGGGGCTTCAGATATGTTCTTTGTCGCTCATGCTGCTGTTTTGACTCCTTAGGGTACAGGTTCATTTTTCTGACAACAGCAGTGACAAACAGTGCTCGCCTCATGGAGGCCATGAGTGAAGTGAAAGCCTGAAGTTTTCCCAACCAGTATTGGAATCTTCTTTGGACACATGCCCCAGTGGGCTGTGGGATTTCAGCACCCAGCTGCTAAGAAAGTGTCCACCAACTATCCTGTGAGGAGCTGGGGAGCCTGGAACTTACTTGGGATTTACAGAGCATATCTGAGGAGTGAGTTCACTTCCTGCATCTGGGAGATTGCTCTTCTTTGTTCATGAAGTACAGCTTCTGCTGTTAATATACAAAAGGGAAAAAAGGTATCCTTTACTAATTCCTGTTTGAGTATCATTGTAAATAAAGCTTTGGATACTCTAATGTAATATGGTTGTAGTTCTGGACAAGCACTTTCTTTTAAGTAGGGAAGCCACAGTAGGGCTTTACATAGGGGCCTCATATGCTCTGGGCTTGGTCTTCATTGTAAAAGTCACTAAACTGTCCTGTACTCGATTTTCCTTAGCATAAAATGCGGGGGGTGGATTAGATCACCAGTGGGTGCTCAATTTGTACTCGATTTCACTTGAGAGAAAATTAAGCGTAGTGGTGGTTGTAGTTTATTAAGGAGGACCCTTAGATTTAAGCATTTTGTTTCTTACTGCAGAATAAAAGATTGTGTTGCCTGTCAGAACAATTTCAGGCGTTACCAAACAGATGCTCCTCTAATTGTTCCCCTAATTGCTGATTCTGGTGGTCTTTCTTTACCTTTACCTTTTACAAACTAAAAAATGTAACTGCATATATTGGTCTTTTTTTTTAAAATTTTTATTATTATTTGGGTGAAATTTTACAGAGCAATTTCACTTTCCATAGAGGAGCTCACATACATTTGTCTCATAACATTGACTGTAGTTTCCCACAATGTAACAGCTCCCTTTCTACTTCCTCCCCCCAGTTACCCCTTCCCTGTGTCCTTCCCTCCCATGCACTCCTGCCCCCAGCTGTGCATACACAGCCCTATTCTCCCATGATTGATCTCTCTAAGGAGTGTAATGTACCTGTCCTTTGTTTGGCTGGAAGCCACAGGAGTGGGTTCAATTCCAGACCTGAAGAGCAACTAGGGGCCATGGTGTCGGGTTTCACCCAGGCTCTATCATAGCAAACCTGGTCCCTTTTTTTTCTTAATGATTTTGAGTTTTGTTCCACATTGTTCTCCCATTCTGTCCATGATCTCCTACAGAGATTCCCCTCCAAGTGGTTGACAGTGGTAGCCGGCACCATCTAGTTCTTCTGGTCTCATAATCATACAGGCTGAGGATTGCATGGTGTACCAGTCCCCTGGACTAACTGTTTCCATGCTCTTTGGTTTTCTTCATTCTTCTTTGCTCTGGATGAGGAGAGACCCATTGTTGCATCTAGATGGCTGCTTGCAAGTTTTTCAGATCCCAGTTGCTGCTCGCCAAAACTAGACATGGAACAATGTTTTTGTTCATCAAGCTCAATCTGTGACCATGGTCCTGAGCCCAAAGGTCCAACTACTCACTCCCTCATGGTTGCCGTCTGTGGCCAAGAAGTAACCACAGCTTTGTCAGCTCTACTATATACCTGAAAATTCTCACAGAACATACAAATACACTTGTAGAAATACTGTCTGCCAACTCTGTACATGGTCATGTACACACTACCCCCTGCATAGCCATACCTAATCGTTCAGCCTATCCACCCATCTGTCCACCTGTATATCAATGTGTGCCGTCACTGAAAACACAGTATTGTATGTGCAAAAGGGTTCATCTTTGTTGTCTATACCTCCCATGCACCTCTCTATGTCTTCTACTTCCTCAATGCCATTGTGTTGATCACTAACATTTGGTACACTGCCTTTCCCTTCACCCAAAACAAGTCTCTACCTATCTAGCAGTTTTCCCTCCCCTCCCCTCCCACCCCTGGTAACCAACAAAAAAAATTGTCTTTCCATATATAAATCTTCCCTTGACTTTTCACAATAATGGACTAATACAATATTTGTCCTTCTGTGATTGACTTGTTTCACTCAGCATAATCTCCTCCAAGTTTATCCACGTTATGCAGTGTTTTGCAGACTCTACGTTATTCTTTAGGGTTGCATAGTATTCCATTGTATGTATATACCATAGTGTGGTTATCCATTCTTCTGTTGATGGGCACCTCGGGCATTTCCATCTTTTTGCTATTGTAAATAGTACTACAATGAACATAGGTGAGCGTATACCTGTTCTTGTCCTGGCTCTCACTTTTTTTTTTTTTTTTAAATTGTGATTTGGGTGAAGATTTACAGAGCAAATTTACTTTCCATACAGCAGTTCACATACACTTTGTCTCATGACATTGACCACAGTTTACCACAATGCAACAGCTC